CGCTGGCGCGTGGAGCGTCCTCGAAGTTTTGGCCGTAAGTGGCGACCCCTCTGGTTGTTGTGGGTGCGTTGGAGCGTTGGCGCGTGGAGTGTCCTCGGAATTCTGTTCGGAGTTCTCGGCCTTCAAGGAATCCTTCCAGAAGCGGCTAGCCAAATCCTATACAGCCGCGCCTAGGAAAAAATACACCTCCGGGCCCCCGGACATGTTTTTTTTTCCTTGCCGTGGCTGTTGGGAATTCTTTCAGCCGCGCCTAGCAAAAAATACGCTTCCGGGCCCCCGGACGGTTTTTTTCCTTGGCGTGCCTGTAGGGACTCCTTGCAGCCGCCGGCTTATAGGAAACCCTTACAGCCGCGCCTAGGAAAATCCTTTACAGCCACGCCTAGGAAAATAAAAGCTTCCGCCCCAAATCATGTAGATCTCGCTCATAGCTCAGTTTTTGCTTATGACACAAGAAATTTGCAAGCTTGACTCGGGACTCATAAACCTTCTTGAATGAACCTTAAAGCTACCGAAGTCCGAGCTTCCCAAGGCTGTTGCACTGTGATGTAAAGCCGGAATGTGGAAGGAAGCGGCCTGAACGTTCTCAAACTTTTAATAAGGATTGCACCCTGGACTGAGACGTGTCTCCCCAGGTAGAGCTCTACAAGTGCAGGCGGCTGGAATTGCACCTGGCCGAGTCCTCAAAGCAAGTCAGCACGTCCGAATCCAAAGTCCCGAATTTGTAAGAGCTATATTTATTCCTTTGAAGGATCACCCTTTGGGGACGTTGCAAGTGGACGAGTGCGATGAGTCGGTCGCTGTGAAGTTTGCCGAACGAGATCATGTAGGCAAGACCAGCACTTAATGAAGCTTTAAGCACGAGCAGTTGTTGAGTGAAATCCACCATTATATCTTGGCTGCCCGATCATGCCCAGTATGATGGCATACGTCTTTCTGTTAAACTAGCGCTATCTGAGATATTCAGCAACCACGCAGTGTTAAACGCGTCTTTTCAGTCGCATGCGCTTGACAAGACAACGTGCTGTGGTGCCGTGTTTGTGTGTGTGTTTTTATCATGAACATGTTCGCGGGAGCATGTTCACGACCTCTGTGTTCCAGGCAAAGCCTACCACCAGAATTCGCTGTGGTCTTAATGGCTTGTCATTGCTAAAACCATCAGGTCAGACAAATGATTGATGCGGGCGTGTTGAGATGCTCCTGGAAGGAGAACAATGCGCAGTCTGTAGGTCAGAGATGTGGATGTGCGCATAGTCGAGTAACCTTTCATGGAAGTGACCTCAAGTGTTTGGGATGCGGCTCAGCAGCTGCTCATCTGGTTGCCAGCTAGAGGCCGGGCTTCAGCATCTCCTGGGGCCTCTGCGGCACGTCAAACTCCACGATGGCAGTGGGCTTGCTTTGGTCTTTGTGGACACGCTGTGCATGAAAGCTAGTTGTTTTCTGCCATTCGAGTCCAACATTCATCTGGTAAGGTGGGGAAGGCAGGGGCCTTCCAGCTTCTTACGTGTTCGAGGCTGAGCTTTGTGGTTCAAATGCCAACTCTCTCACCCGCTAAGCACCATTGTGTCACTGCTGTGGAGGGGTTCTACATGCGTTGCAGGTTTGGTTTCTGTTGACGCCTGAGGTATGGTGGATGCAGCCCTTCGCACAGATGCCGTGAGGCAGGCGTCACAGTTCTGCAGAACCATGCAGGTGCAATTGGTGTATGTCCAGCTCGCCCAGACGTCATTCATCATTTTGCCAGCTGCAGGCGTGGGGAGGGAGAGTTTCCGCTGGTCCAGCAGCTTAGATTTGTAGTGTACAGATACAGCGCGCATGTTGTGCAATTTTGTAATTTGTAATGCGCACCCAGGACTTTGGAACTGCTACCGCCGTTCCTGACCAACCTGAGCCTGAGGCCTGCATGGAGCCTTTGTACAGGTAGTGTCTGCTAGGTTTGTAGCGGCAATCTGGTGTACATATTTGTGGATGCTTCTGACCTTCACTCACAACGGTTTCTGTGCAAAATGCATCCAAGTGCGAATGCCTCTTAGCGGAAGGCAGTTCCGGCAGATGAGCAGAGGCGACAGGAGGCTGAGAAGCACCGGCTGGCTGGCAATGACATGTCTGCACCCTGAGAAAGCAGAGAATGCGTTCGGGGGAAGTTGCTGCTAAAGGTTGCTTTGCACTGAGGTTCCGTGCATCAGACTTCAGCCAGGAGTGCGTTTTGTCCACTTTTCCACGTTTGGCTTTTCAAAGCTTTGCCATCCGCACAGGCCGCCGCTTTATACTCGCTGGCCCTCCAGCTCGTGCAAGACTTAGACAAGCCGGGTAGAATTACTCAAGAGAAATAGACACTGAATCACAAGCACGGCTGAAGGCTTTTTAGATTTTGTCTTGGAGGAGGCAACTCCTTATGTACCGATGCCTCGTAAAACGGCACCTCCTGAATTACATCCGCAAGTTAGCTGTCTTGTGTGTGCATCAATTCGGCTGCTTGTGTTGCTGTCATGTAAGGCACCGGAACTGGGAGCTGTATGGGCAAACCGCGCCCAATGCTGGCTGAAACTGGGCAACCACGAGAAGGCCAAATGTGCTTGGACGTTCCTTTCTTCGTCTCCCGAGATTATTTTTTCCTTGTCAAGGCCCTGGCTGATGCGAAGAAGTGCACAGAGGTGGGAGGGCCAAGGGTTGCCCATCAACCACCACAGAATGGTTCAGAGTGCGCAGGTAGAGCCAATGAATCCCAAGGGTTGGTTCCGACAGGGCATCAGCCTCTCGGATCATATGATAAGTGGCAGGCAAGCTAGCTGTGAAGGCTGATTTTTCAGATTGTTGCCGCCCAAGGCCTCCACGCAATGCAGCGCTACACTGATGCCATTCCTGCACTGCTGGAGGCAGGATTCAAAAAGGTTTGCGAAGGACAGTGGGATTGGTTGCGGATAGATTGAGATTTCCTGCCTAGCCATCCTGTCATGGTGCACTGCTACCGCCGCAAAAAAATGCTTCAGCTGCAAGCCGTGTAGGAGCGATGTCTATAGGTCCTGTATTCTTTAGGCAGTTCACAAAGCCGCCTGCCTGGTTTGGTCAGGACCGCCAATTCCCTCTCTTGCAAAGATCTCACCTATGACACAGCATGCTTGATGCTTGGCATGCTTGCCGGGCTGGCAGAAGCAGAAGCAGTAGCAGCCGTGGCACAGCTTTCGCTGCAGTGACACTGTCGTGGCAAGGTGTCATCGCTTTTTCTTGGTTTCAGTTGTTGGAGCTGCTGCTCCCGCTGCTGCTCCCGCTGCTGCTCCCGCTGCTGCTCCTGCTGCTGCTCCCGCTGCTGCTGCTGCTGCTCCCGCTGCTGCTGCTGCTGCTGCTCCCGCTGCTGCTGCTGCTCCCGCTGCTGCTGCTGCTCCCGCTGCTGCTCCCGCTGCTGCTGCCGCTGCTGCTGCTGTTGCTGGTGATGTTAACTTTGGTACGGCTCCCCGACGCCATACCGGCCCCCTTACTGCCACATAGATGGGGCCGTATGTCGTTTTGGCGGCGATGATGATGCTGATGATGACTGATAGTCTGTTAGTCATGATGCCATTGACGGGATGGTCCAGGTACAGCTGGTGAGTGGTGACATTGATGATGGTTGTGTTGGCAGCGATGCTGGTGCCGCGCTGGGGCAGGTTGTTCCGCAAGTGGCTTGTTGCCATTCCTGGTATTGCCATTGCCATTCTTGTTTTGGTCGTCGGCTCTGCGGTGGTGGTCCTGCTTTTGCTGGCATTTCTGGTGCTTGGTGTTTTGCAAAATTGAGTGCTGCGACATCACTTTGGACAGGCTGAAAAATTGGAACCCTCCAACAAGCAGATCGTGGATGCCATAAAGATGGCCAGGCTCCTAGAAGCACACCCACTTGTAAGCTCGATGTCGCTTCATTGATGGTGGACAATTCAAATGAACCTCCAGAACTTGCTCGGTGACATATGATATATGCAGCATGGAAAGCGAACAACACTTCTGACATCAGCAGTGATAGCAATGTGAGTACAGTAGTGCTCATTCTGCTGCTGATGCTCTGGAAGGCACTGCCTCATTCGAATATAGATGCTATGGTAGCATGTAGGTTATCATGGTATGCGCGCAGAGCATGTTCTTGCAAAACGGATGATCTCGCAATGACATCCAGTTTTGCCTGACACCAATGGAGAAGGGTGAAGGTGCACACAGATGGGAAGCCCAGATACAGACAAAGAATCGCTTGACAAACCTTGACCTAAGCCACGAAGCTTTAACACTCCACACTGGCCTACACACTTAAACTTAGACTTAGGTCCTCTAGATCTCTGTATCAGGAAACCCTTCTTTGTGCGAACACTGAAGCTTGCAACCCAACCTTCTGACCCTTTTGGCCCAAAAGCCTTTAGCAACCTAAACCCGCCCTAGCCCGAAATGTCCTTAATGCTACAATCAAAACCTGAAGCCCTGCAAAGACACAAACGCTCTTAACATCCTGCGTTCTTGAGTGTCATGCTCCCAATGCCAAAAGCCTAAACCCCACACTTAGATCTCCAATTGCAAACTTTTCAACTTTTCTGGATTTGCTGTGTTTAGGCTCTGAGGATTCAAGGATTTTATTCATAATCTGTACCTCACCCCCAAATCCTGACTTCTTCATCCTCCAGGCCTGACCTCTTAAAACCTCAAACCCAATCCCCAATCTCAAGCATCCGGTTCTTCATCTTTGCCGCGGTGATCCTGTGCAGCCTGATCCTCGACAGCATTATTTTAGGAGGTTAGGGAAGATGGGTCCAGGGACAGGTTTGGGATTTCAGATTTCAGGATTCCGTGTGGTTGCTGAAGGGATGTAAAGCTCTTGGTTTTGGTCGCTCAGACCGCAGCCTCGAGTCGGGTAGTGGTCAATCAGACCGCGGCCCTAGAGAGTGGTCGAAGTGTGGTGTACTGTTCGGTTGTTAAGGACCATGACTGTAATGCGCTGTGGTCGCTCAGACCTGCAGCCCGGGTTGTGGTTGTTCAAACCGCGCCCCTAGACATGTCAGGGCTCGTGGGTTTGGGGGTACCCTAAACCCCAAACCCTAAAACCCTAAACCCTAAAACTCAAAAGCCGTAAACGCTACACCTTACACCCTCAACCCTGAAGCCCTAAACCCTAAAACCCTAGAGCCTAAACCCTAAACCCGAAAACCCAAGGCCCTAAAACCCTAAACCTAAACCCGCTCAGACCTGACCCCCACTTCCTGCCCTACCTGAGCCCTAAACCTGCTCTCTGCCTCGCTCAGGAACATCAGCCATCTTCGCATCTGGGTTGGCCGCTGCTGGCAAGGACGGGGAGGGGAGATGGCGGAGATGGGTGCAAGTTGTTGAGTTGTGGGCCTTATGTTTGGAAACTGAAGGTTGTGGTAGCCTTTCAATACTGAGGATTCCAGGGATGGGGAGATAGGCTCACTGGCCGATGCAAGTAGTATATAGTATCAAGAGTCTCTTGGCCCAACGGCTTACGCCCTCATTCCCAGCTTCAAAGAACCTGGACATGGCGCCAGTATGTTTGCTCAAAGAGTTTGAGCAAGAAACATACATCGGTGAAATCCTCAGGATGACTCAAGTATGAAATTACCCAAGCCCAGCCTTCTCCTTCTCAACCTTCTAAATTTCCTTGGCGGCGTGACCGCGAAGACCGAGTAATTTCCGTGAAATGAGGCACCAGCATCACAAACGCCCGAAACCTCAATCCCAGAAACCTGCGCAGCGTCTGAGCGTTTCAAGCAGGGTGGCCCAGGCTCCAGTTCAGACAGGGATCGTCATAGTTGAAGCTAAGGGCATGAAGCTTAAGCTCACTTGAGGCACACTCATGGCTCATTTCAGGGTCTTATTATAGCGGCCGGGCTCATTTCAGGGTCTGATGGGGCTCACTGTCAGCTTAGGCCTCATTACAGGGCTTAAGAGGGTCAGCTTCCGGACGCCAAAACACAAGCTCTTCGTGACCAACTTGCAACTACGCAGCGACAAAAATTCGGAGCAACAAACACAAACTGCCGATTTGATGAACTAACTGCAGCAACTTTCTGCGCAACTTCGTACCCTTACGGCCCAACAGGTCTCGAACCTACGAGCCCCTGCCGCGCAACAAGCCCAAGTACCGTTGCAGGGAGGCGCAACCTCAGAGTTTCCCCGTCAACCCGTGTCGTGACATGGTGTTTCCCACCAGCTGGCTTCTGGATTGCCAGCTGTCTGGGAGACTCACCTCAGCCTAATAGCGTGTCATACAGGTTCTTTTGCTTTCTCCCCATTAATCGGGGGCATGGAACAGGAACCCTAATGCACTCAGACCACGCTTCGATGAGATTTTTTCGATGCGATATGAAATTTTAGCAGAGCAAGAAGTCTGAATTTTGGAGGACACTGCTGCTAGTTTAAACCTGCAAGGCAAGCAAAAATGGGTTTCATATTTGCATGGCGTTTTACCTTGTTACACAAAATGTGCTTAAAGCTCTCAAACTTGACAAGACTGTGCCTACTGTTGCCTTTATGGTCCGTCACGACATAGCAGCCAGGCCACTAAAAGTGCCCGAAGTGCAAACTTGGTATCTCAAGCGGCGTTTGTTTTAGCAATCCAACTATTCATTCACAATAGATGGGTTTCCTTTTATAACGTCTATGCTTCTGGTTGAAGATAGTAATCTCATGCTTGATGACTCACCTCAACTGTTGCAAACGCAGTCTCGTGCAGATGTTGTCGTGTGTGGTGACTTCAATGCCAATGTTCGTGAAGGCATGTTTTTCCAGCAAATGAGTCAAATGCGTTGGTGCCCACTCGCCTATCACACTGAGTAAGATTTCATCACCTTCAAACACGTTGAAGGGGGAACTTCTGCGATTGATTCAATCATATTTTCTCCTAGCGCGACTGAATATGCTGCTCCCCTCCAGACCCTAAGGCCCTAAGTGTTCTTCTTGAACGTGGGCATTAGTTGGTATTTACCAAGCTAACGGCGAACGCATAATGTTCAAGCTCGTGCAACATGGGACGTCTTTTTCCTGAGCTTACAATCCAGGAGGGTCCGCAGCAGAATGAAATATGGCAAGTTCATTGCAATTTTCTTAAGAAAGTTTCCCTCATGAATCTGTAGATGTCTTGTGGTACTCATGGTGCTCGGCCCTTCAGGACATTTACAAGGCAGACGGCAGGGTCTACTTCCCTTGGCAGAAGGGCTTCGTTTCGCGTGAGGGACAAGCATAGGCAACATAGATTACATGATTTACTACACCGTGCTATTTTCACAAACCATGATGTTGCCAGCAGGTCACTACTCCAAAAACTTCGGCTTTGCAGCTGCAGCAAGAATCAAATTCGAAAGTCAACCGCATAACACGAGAGAATTTGTATGCTGGAGAATGGCTGAGGAGACTGTTCAAGTGGTGCAAGGGTTGTAGCATACTTGTGCCTTCATGTATTGCTAGTAGCAACCACGGAGTTCAGGGTTACGCTACCTGCCTCGCCGAGCCCCTTCTTGAAATCAGGGATTACGATAAGGCTGATAAGGATCTCTTTCTTAAAGACCTGATGACATCCCGTAAGGTGACCACGTGTCACAGCACACGTGATGAGCAAGTACACATCTTACAGACACTCTTAAGCAAAGTTATTGCTGCGGCAGATGCGTCGAAGGCTCCGGGCATTGATGGACTGCAGGTTTCACATTTTACGCAGCTGCCCAGTGGAGCCTTGAGTGCGCTTCCCATCATTTTTCACAAGGCCCTATTTCAACAACAACAACAACAACTACTACTACTACTACTACAAGAACTACTACTACTACTACTACTACTACAAGAACTACTACTATTACTACTACTACTACTGCTGCTACTACTACTACTACTACTGCTATTTCTACTACTATTATTACTGCTACTACTATTACTACTATTATCACTACCGATAGTACCACTCTTC